GCGCTGGTGGGCCCGCATTTCAATTTCACGAGTTCACAATTGCCGGCGATTTTGCGAGAGGGCGAAGGGACAGAAAAGATAATGGCGAGTTGGCGGGTAATGGGATTTGGGGGGTAATGGGATTTGGGGGGTAATGGGATTTGGAGGGCGATGTGAGAAGAGGGATAAGGAGGGAAAGAGGAGGGGGAAACGTACGATGGCGTCTGCGACCATCGAGTACGGGATGCCGTTCGCCTGGACGACCTCCGCGCGGATGGCGGCGACGGTGCGTTTGAAGCCGGAGAAGGGCGCCCAGTCGGGGTAGGAGGTGTACAGCCATCTTTATCACGTATGTTCGAAGGAGGTAATGGGATAATAGGGGGAAAGAGGCGCACTTGAGCGAGGGGAAGACGTCGACGAGCGCGCCGGAGGCTTGGTATGCTTCGGCGGATTTCTTCACTGCGTCGTTTGCTGAAATGATAAGAAAGAAAGTGAGTGAGGTAGAGAAGGAAAAGGGAGGGAAGAAAAACGCACCGAGGCGCGCGAGGTGGTCGTTATCGGAGGTGACGTCAAGGTCGTACGTGAGGCGGAAAATCGTCGATGTCGCATAACTGCATACACTATCAGAGAAAAGTTGGTAAGAAAGACGGGATGGGACACGCACACAAGGATGTGGTCGTGGAACTTTTCGGGCTTGGTGCGGAGGGCGTCGATGAGGCGCTCCGCGAGCTCGCTGTGCAGGTCGGCGTAGGAGCGGGCGGCGGTCGGGTTGAGGAGGGCCTGCGAGAGGCGGCGGTGCTTGCGGAACTGGGCGCCGTAGCGCATCGTCGGCATCGCGGCATCCCATCCCAGACTATACATCACCATGTAAAGGCTCTCATTTAGCCTTCAGATGACGGTAGATGGACAAGAGAGGAGACGCACATCTCGTTCTCGAGGACCATGTTGGGCCGATCGGAGTAGATCGCGCCGCGCTTCTCGAGCAGGTCGACGACGATGTCGTAGTCGCTGACGAGCACGCTGCGGAAGCCAAGCACGTCAAAGCGGACGAGGGGCCCGAAGCGTGCGTGCCAGGCGGGGAAGAGCAGGTGCGGGCGCGCGGCGCGGACGAGGTCGAGCAGGTTCCCGAGTAGCGGCAGCCCGCGCGGGCCGGGGATCTGCTTCCCCGCGTGCGCGGAGCGCGAGACAGCGACGATGCCGACGGCGAGCACGACGACGAGCGCGAGCGGGAGGGGCGAGGCCGAGGAGAGCGACATGGCGGGCGCGGGTCTCTGGTCAGTGAGTCTGGCAAGTCTAAGTCGAGTCTGGGATGGGAGGTGGGACGGGGCTCCGCGTGCTTGTGATGACTTATGGTTGTGCGGGTGGTCGCGGCGCAATGTCCAGAGCGTGCCAGATTGATGTTCCCCATATCGCAGACGCGCATGTCGTCCGGCGCACAAGCAAACGCTGCTGTTGCGCAGACGCGTCCATCAACGCGACAATTACGCGCGCGCGCGTCCCGGGCGACGGCGTCCGCGCCGGGCGAATTGCGTAAGCCCGCGTGCATCGGGCGATCTGGCGCCGGTGCGGCGGCGCGGGGATGGCGTACGGGGATGTGCGCATTTGGAAATGGGACTGCCTGTCAGCGTCCGCGGTCGCCTGTGCGCCCTGAACCAGGCGCGTCCACTCGCAGCGCGTCGATATCGCCAGTCCGCGCGCATCAGGCCACCCGAATACACAATTGACGCGCCCTCCGTCCTGCGCGGCCATGGACCTCCTCAAGGCCAAGGCCTCCGCGCGCCCAAGTCTCCCTCGAACCACCCGCCTTTTCTCTTTGTCTTTCGCCCGCCATGGCCTCGCAGCTCCTCGACTTTGCCGCGCACGCGCCCGCACACATCAACGCGACCCTCGCAGACCACGCCCCCGCCCTTCTCGCACGCATCAATGCGGCTAACCCTGTAGACCTCGCCCTCCTCGCCCTCGCCGCCATCCTCGTCGCACGATGGTCCACCTCTGGCACCAAGCCCAAGGGCCCGCTTCCCCCCGGCCCCCGCGGGTACCCCCTCGTCGGTATGGCGCTGAGTCTCCCGAGCGTCGCGCCGTGGCGAGTGTATCAGCGCTGGGCGCGCGATCTGAGTGCGTAGCGTTGTGGTTGTGCTTTGCGTGGAGATGCTGATGATGAACGGTGGTATGTATAGAGACGGATATGCTGTGGCTTAGGCTCCCGAGCACCGGCCCGTCACTGCTGATTCTGAGCTCGGCGGAGGCGGCGACGGACCTTCTCGTCAAGCGGTCGACGGTCTATTCTGACCGGTGCGCGCACTCTCGACTTCCCCCTATTCCTCTGGTTCTGACTTTGACTTGTTCGATGTCACTAGCCCGCAATCGATCATGCTCAGCGACCTCATGGGTATGTCCTGGGTCTTCGGCCTCATGCAGTACGGCGACGACTGGAAGCGTGCGTCTCTCTCCCGCCCTTCATTAGTGCAGAGTTCAGATAGCGGACTGATGTTGATGGGGTAGAGCACCGCAAGCTGTTCCACCGCGAATTCGAGCTCTCGGGCGCCGTGCGCCCGCACGAGCTCGCCGCGTCCCGCAGGCTGCTGAATAGGCTGCTCAAGCAGACGGTGAACTATCAGCGCGATATGCAGCTGTGCGTCTCTCCCCCCTTTCCCTTTCCCCTTCCCTTTCCCTCATACCTCCACTTCTCCTTCGCTCCTCTCTCCTTGGCTGCGCGGACACACGCTGACGTGCATCGCCGGACAGCACGACGGGCGACATGATCCTCAGCGCGACGTACGGCATCACGCCCAAGAGCGAGAACGACGACTTTATCAAGCTCGCGGAGAGCCTCGTCGGCGCGATGGCCGTCGTCGCGGGCGGTGGATTCCTCGGTGTGTTTCTGTCTCCCTATTTCCTACCTCCCTATCTTCCCGTTCCTCTTCCCTCACACCCCCACCTCCGCATCTCTATACTTCCTCGCCCTACGACCGAACTCTCCTTTCCATCACACGAGTACGAGCATCGGTGCAAACGCTGACCCCGCACGCACACAGTCGACATGCTCCCCGCGCTGCGCCGCGTGCCCGCGTGGTTCCCCGGCGGCGGGTTCAAGAAGCAGGCCGCCGAGTGGATGAAGCTCGGCGTCAAGGCGCGCAGTGTGCCGTTTGAGCATGTGCAGACGCAGATGGTGCGTGCCATTCTGTCGTCCTTCCCATATTGCTCCTCCTGCTCTGTTCGTCTCGTCTTCATCCTTCTTCTGCCCCGCACGGTCTGTCGCACTCGCAGCTATATGACCAGGCGACTTGCGAGGTGTGATAAAGGAGAGACAGTGCAGAGGAACAGATAGAAAGAGGAAGGAGAGATGCTGATTGCATATGCGCGCGCACAGGCTGAAGGCAAAGCCCCGCCGTCCGTCGCCTCGCACTTCCTGAGCGCGCTCACGGACGAGGCAGACCCCGAGCAGGCCAAGAGCAAGGAGCAGATGCAGAACATCCTCGCGGAGGCGTATCTCGGTGCGTCTCCCTTTCCCTTTCATCCGTCCTTGAGGTTTCCTGACACGTATACGCCGCACGGTCATGTTTAGGTGGAGCCGGCGCGGTACGTCTCTCTCCCATCCCCACTGCCACGAACCCGCTGATCCTAATGCTGATGCTGCGCAGACCGTCGGCACCCTCTGCACCTTCATCCTCGCCATGTCGCTCAACCCGCACCTCCAAAAGCGCGCACAAGCCCAGCTCGACGCGCTCCTCTCCACCACCTCTTCCCCCGCGCCGCTCTCCCCGCACGCGCGCCTCCCGACCTTCGCCGACGCGCCGTCCCTGCCGTACGTCGACGCGCTCGTCGCCGAGACGCTCCGCTGGCACCCCGGCGCGCCGCTCGGCCTCTTCCACGCCGCCGCGCGCGACGACGTGTACCAGGGCAAGGTGATCCCGAAGGGCACGATGGTCACCGCGAACGTGTGGGCGATCTTGCATGATGAGCGCGTGTATGGCGCGCAGACGGAGCGGTATAGGCCGGAGCGGTTTTTGGGGCAGGATGGGAAGAGGAATGGCGTGCCCGAGCCCGAGTGGGCGTTTGGGTTTGGGCGGAGGGTGTGTCCCGGCCGAGGTGAGTGCTGTGCTGTGCTGTGCTGGGGTGTGGGGGATGTGAGGCTGATTGGAGAGGATGGTGGTAGTGATGGGCCGCGAGACGCTGTGGATCACCGCCGCGAGCATCCTCGCGTGCTTCGACATCAGCGCGCCCGTCGATAAGGACGGCAAGCCGCTCGACGAGGCCACCATTGAGTACTCGAACTCCATGTCTAGGTGCGTCTTTGTCTGCTCCTCCTGTGATGAGATGGGATGGGATGCTGATGTGTGAGTCCGGGATGCGCAGCCGCCCGCCGTACTTCGATGTCACGTTCACGCTGCGCCATCCGGGGCTGGAGAGCGTGATTGTGAATGGGCTGCAGGATCAGCTGTAGGCTGATGCATATTACGGATAGAGGATAGAGGCTCGCAGCTCTGCGGCGCGACGTGGAGGAGAAGGAAGGTATCTAGTCGGTGTTTCTTGAGCACTACTCATATTATACGGCCGTCATTGAAGACCGACGGTGTCGCTGTTGCACTTTCGTTATTATCACCATTGTCTATCCTCTATGTTGTGTTTACTTTCTCTGTTGTGTTTGTATAGTTGATTGATAGTGGAGATTTCGATGCAATCGATGTATGGACTGATCTTTTCTATGAGGTTTTATGCACATTAAATCAGGTGGGAGTGAGCAGATCTGGTTTGTACTAGAGTAAGGTATGTGCAATGGATGGGTGTAGGTTGGGTTGGGTTAGGCTCGAACATCTTACATCGTCCTTCTTGCCTAGTCTTCACACACAAAACAACAGTTACAAAACCCTCCGTGCAGCTATCCACACCCATATTACTTGCGCTTCACCATCATATACCCGCAGTATCTCAGAACAGCACCATCCATACCAAGTCCCAACCTTGACCCCCAGGCCTCGACACAGATGTGAACAGATACACACCATAATCGAATATCAGCATCGGATATGGTGTAATGGCTAACATTACCGCCTCTCATGCATTCGATGGATTGTTTGATGCAGTGCGCGGTAGCTCGGGGTTCGATTCCCCGTATCCGAACTCCGCAGTTGTTTCGGCAGAATGTTTTTTGTTTTGTTTGTTTTGCTTGCACCTGTAGAAGTGGTGATGGTGGTATGCATATAGGAGGGGTGTCCTAGTCGGGTGAGATGGAGAGGGGTGCAGGTGTATGGGCCCCCGGGATGAGGTATTGATTGGGCTCTCGTCCAGCGACAGACTGGTGCGATAAGGTCTCTCGCTGCATTTGCATAAAGCATCATGGATTGCTATTGAGATACGGAATACTGGTTACTGGGTGTCTACTATGGACGCAGTGCGCTCGCTAGCAACGGGGCGAACGAGAGACTGACGCTTTGGCGGCCTTTGAGTTGGATGGCGCAGATATCTACGCATATATTCTGCGCAGTGCGTCGCTCAGAAATCGGGCGCGAGTGGTCAGTACTGGAAAGAAGCAGAGAGGCGGCCAATACCCGACGTTCGGTGAGATGGTAAAGCTTTATGCTAATGCTGCAGCCGTCATTCGAGCTCACTCCCGGAGAAAGCGAGCGAACTAGGTTTCCCTGCGAATGTGAATGATCGTCTTCAGCGTGGCTGAATCTGACTACCCTGGTGGCGCGGTATTGCGATGCCCCTTGAAGTCCAGGAGAAGACGATGTTGCATTTCGCACCGGCCTGCAGTGTGCATCCAGAACGCGGATCTCCCTGCTGCAGAAGTTGGGCGTCAAGAGATGGTGATGCTAGACGTTTTGCGTCAACCCCTGGGTTCAAAGACATCCGATGTGTTAAATTGAAGCTCCACAGAGGAGGAGGTTCTGATACGCAGACGAGAGAAGCACATCAGTGCAGATTGTCATGCTAGACCTCTGTTCCGGTGGACGTGCGAGCGTGTGCGCGTGCGCTTGCGGGAAGCGCAAGAGTCGATGCTTCGAGGCCTGCGAGTTCCACCGCCCGCAGTGGCATAGTGCACCATGGTATACTGTCGCACAGATGAATGCCAGACATTGCTGTGGACACAGTGCAGCAATTGAGGGCCGAAGGACAGAGTAGACTCCAGCGGTAACGGCCTCGGTGAGTGGCGATTAGCGTGTCGCTTGTGAAGCCCTGGTGCTCGAAGCTCGAATATGAGTTGTAGGTGTGGAGGCGGAGGAGAGAGGCAGCCACAGTGAAGTGGGACTAGATGCATCGAAAATTCGATGCCGAATACCGTCGTTCAAGTTCACTCCCAAGGAACCAGGGAGGTCAGTTCTATGCGGATGCCTAGCAGACGTGCTCTGCCTCTGACAGCTGGCTCCAATACTGTGGTTCTGGCGCCCAATTGTTCGTTGCCCGGGAACAGTATGGGTATCTGACACGACAGCGCGGCTGAGCAGCAGACAATGACGGAGCAAGGATCTTATAGCCATAATACGACGTCAATTTCGAGAGCTCGTCCTGGAAGGAAGCAGACATACCAATTCTTACCCCAAATACCCTGCGGCCGTCCTCTACATGGATGCAACCCGACTTTGTCGCTACGACGCAGTGTTGTCGACGTCACGGAGCACACATTGTATGCTGTCCTCTGTACGAGGGCGAGGTCGGATACACGATACAGCGGCCCTTCGGCAGGGAACGAACGTAGAGATAAATGGACGGTTCGACGCGCCAAGCGACTCGATGTTGAACATTTTTTCTTGTTTCTTGGGCGGAGGGCATTCGAGGGTCCAGAAGCGGAAGCGTCGTCGCAGTGACTGTGCAGGAACAAAGTAGCTCGAGCTAGTACCCAGCAGAGCCGCATAGACATACTGGGTCTCGACACGAAGATGCGTGCGCTGGTGTATCACGATGTCGCATTGCCGGATGTAGAAAGGAGTCTCGAGTTTGACTGTCCTGGTATGCGTATGACGAGAGTGAAAGAGGATGGCTGAGCAGAGCAAGATTGTTGGCGACCAACGAGGGGCGCGCCAAATTTTCCTGGTGCACGATACCTGGTGGAACTTGAGTGCAAGAAGATGCTACGCCAGAGCTGCCCGGATAACGTTATTGTGCCTTGCACAGTCATTCCGATGCGACATTGCGGCCGAGCTGTCAATGATGACGAGCGAACATTTGCTTGGATCGTAGAATCACAGTGGCTCGAGGTTAGCTGTGATAGGAGGGGTGTTTGGACGGAGTCCACGGACGGGAGTCGATGTACCGTAAAACTCATAGGCGCAATGAGTCTTTGAATCGAAATTCCAGATTGAATGACAGGCGACGGGTTGAGTGCGGAAAATGTTGCTGTGGTGAGCCTGTTAGGAACGACGTGGTCAATGTCCGGAAGAACCGTACCGCACAGGTGCAGACCAGATGCTTCGCGACGTCGCAAGGCCAGGGATTAGACAGTGTCCCGAATTCGCATCACATTGTATGGGTGAAAGAATACAACGGTTGAGTAGGGCACCGACCAGTGTTGAAGATGACTATGCGTGTGTAGTCTGATTACCGACCTCAGAGCCTCGAGCTTAGGCTGGAGTTCGCGGCCGATGAGCACTGCTAAACTGTCGGTCAGAAATTTCATCCACTCGCGCACCTCCAAGCTCCCTACCCACTCTGCGCCATGCGAGAATGCAAACTGGAATTGGTTTTGGGATGCCAACTGTGGATTCGGACGTGATTCCTCGAGTACGAGAAGGGTATACCTCACCGGCTTCTCACAAGCAACATTTATTGTTCCAGTTCAGACGCGAAAGCTGTGCGAGGCGTGTGTTTCGTGGCTCAAACTTCTAACCAATGCAGAATACAGAGAAGTGTTAGGCTCTATGGATCCAGAGCGTATGGGGAAATTTCTGCAACCTACCTCGGACAGTGCTTCGACCTTCTGATTCGTGCTGGCATCTACCCTTGTTCACGAGTCGAATGTGGGTGCATATACGAGACGCATCACGGTCTATCTCGCAGAACTGACTGGACCCGCGAGCCTAAGCAAGGTTGGCTAGTGGCTTAGGGTACGGTGCGTAGTACGTACCTGTTGTTATCCTCTGCTTCACTGTTGTCTCGGCCGAGAGCCAGCGATTGTACGATGCAGAGGGTCAGCCTTGAGGGAAAAGGAGAAGAGACTGCACGTCAGCGACAGCGAACGAGAGCGCATAAAACGGTCCTTGACATGATGGATATCTGAACTCACACGTACTTCCGTGGTTATCGCAGACAAAACCCGATGCCAATTTGTGCAAAAGCGAGTTGTAGCCTGAAGTATACTCGGCATCGGGTTGAGATCGAAGCTCAATCTGAGAAACGAAGAACACCCATTATCATGTACCGTTAGCAGGGATGTTCGTCGGCCTGGTGGTCTAGTAGTATGATTCCTTCTTAGGGTTCAAACATTGTTTGAAGCATTTGGAGGAGGTCCCGGGTTCAATTCCCGGCCAGGCCCGTTGGATGATTACAACGTGGTATATTTTACTTTTGTTTCGCTCTTTAGAACACTTCGGAGTAGGCAATGATGGGGACGCGCAGGGTCTAGGCATAAAGGTCTCGAAAAGTGCATTGCTGTTTCAGAGCACATGTTAGATGGATCCACTAATACTGCTTCCTCCACCAGCATGTCCCGAGCTCTGTTTCCAACTAGGCCCATTGGTCAAAGGAAAGACCACTTGCCTTGGGAATTTTTAACATTTGAGCAGATCAAGCCTCAATATTCGCTGCTCATATTAGCTCTATGTTTGTTGTTGGGACAATATCGGATATGGTGTAATGGCTAACATTACCGCCTCTCACTGTCACTTGAAAGTTGACCAGCTCGCGGTAGCTCGGGGTTCGATTCCCCGTATCCGAATAAATTTCCTCGAATGTTGCTTTTCTCAACTTTTTGTTTTATTTTAAAAGTAGTACTCAGTTGGGCTTCATGGTATGCATTCATTCGATTGGTTCAAGTTCCATAACTTCAGGGTAGAAAGCCCTTGGGAAACAACAGTCACACTCGTACACCCTGTAACATATCAAACCCAACTAAGCGACAAGCCTCCACTCGCCATTCACAAGCCCATTCGTGACGCTGAAAGGGAACCCATAATTGTCTGCCATCCCCTTCCTGAACTGTGGGTCCATCCACGGCGGCAGCGTATACACGAACCACACAAATGTCCACACGTACCCGAGCCTGCACATCCACGTCGTCGGTCGCGGGTTGAAGAGGCGTGCGATGATCTGCTCGGCGGTGATGGCGGTCGCCTGCAGGAGGAAAAAGCGCAGCGCGCCGCTGTCCGTGCGCGCGTTGTCGCGGAACAGGCCGTACTCGCCGACACCGTGGATGACGCCGGAGACGAAGAACGCGGTGTAGCGGTGGACGCTGTCCGCGAGGAATGTGCTCTTCTGGAGTCGCAGCACACGGTATGTCACGAAGTCACCGTGTGTGGAGACAGTCTGGTCGGCGGTGTTAGTGCAGCGCAGAAATGGCAAACAAGTGGAAGGCATACGCGGCGGAACACCTGGTGCCATGTTCGTCTACATTTCAGAAGTTCGATTAGCATGAGACCATCGACAAGTATGGAGCAGAATACGTACCCCCAAAAGCGCCGCAGCGTATACGCATCCGACCACTTTCCATATATCGCTGGCCAAGCGCTCTGATCCGTCACGCCCAGCGCAACTGCGACCACCGACGCCGCAGTATACCCGAAGCTCATGTAGGACCAGATATGGATCGCATGGAGCGCGGTGTTGAGCACGCGGATGGCAGGCCCACCCGTTGTCAGTGACACTCCATCCCGTACGAACTGCGGCGTGTGGAGGATCCAGTAGTGTACAACGTCGAGGATGACGAAGTATTGGAGCGCGGTGAGCGTCTGGCGCACGAGGAAGCGCAATCGCGGCTCCTTGGCATCAGGGTGCGGGGGGAAGACGTGCCGTGGTTCGTGTGTCCAACCCACGGCGCGGGGCGCGCCCAGCAACTGTGCGGCCCACTTGATGCGCGACCACAAGCCGAGCTCGTTTGTAGGGACTTTCTGTCCAACGAGGCGCAGTGCGGCGACATCATTGATGACAAGAGTGTCCGATGCTTGTAGGAGTGTCGTTGTAATGAGACTCCAGGTAACGATGTCGTCGGAATCTTTCCCTGTCGTTGTGAAGAAGATCATGTAGAGCGACATGGCGAGAATGGGTGGGAAGAAGAGGGCGCGCAGAGGGCGCGAAGGTAGGAGAAGGCCTGCGAAAAGACATGCCTGCACGCCCGCCTGCAACGCCGGAGGCAGCGGTTTGAGGTCAGTGCTCATCGTGCGCAAAGGAGAGAGCAAGGGAGGAAGAAAATAACCACATTTGCTTATCAGGAGATATATGAGGAATACGGACAAAAGATATCGAACGATCCGGTATGCAAGGGCTGCTTTGTGTGAAGGCGTTATGTACTCGTGAGTACCTTGAGATTCGTCCAGGACAGAGCGCGCCAAGTTCGCTGATGGCCGGTGCCGCCCCCTTGGCGTCTATTTGTTCAGATCGCATCATGCGCATCTCGATTGTGTACCTCCGTCGACTCCGCTCGTTTATGGTAACACCACAGCATCTCTCCATCGCAGCCGTGATCTCCAGCTGCAATCAGTCCGCAGAGCCTAAATATTTTGATGCCCACCTCATTTACAGCTTATTCCTGGCAAGGCACGCTCGCATCCTCCTGTTGATTTCGCTGCGCACCATAATCACCCGCATAGGTCGGAGCGCCGCCTACGACACTATTTGCAACGCCTGGATCACAATCACAAGCAATTTGATGCTCGGAGATGGACGATGCTAAAGGAGACAGTCGGTTGTAGACGGCACAATGCTTAGGGCCTCAGACGGCGGAGCCGACTTCATATAATTCAGAATACGACTTGGGGCAATACTCAAGCGCTCATTCTCAGCACCACTCCCGGAAGAATTCGGACAGTTCAAATGCATTTGGTGCAATAGAACTGAGTAACAGGGCATTGTGTTAGGCAGATAAAGATAATTCGTGAGCGAAGGCCTGCAAATCGAGACATTTACGGAGTCGTGCTATAGTAGAAGACGATGTGTACGCGAACGAAACAGACGATGCGAGAACGTGAATGGAATAAGTAATAGTTAGTGGTATGGAGATAGCGTTACTTGTGAGATTGTGAGCTCTAGGAAGGTCCGTCGGACATCGCGTCGCACATCCTTCGATTGTGTCCGGTTCTGGTGCTTTCTGGTGCTTACTTCCCGCACACGGAGCCCTTCTTCATGAGGTCCGCCGCGCGCTCCGCAGCGACGTAGATCGGGACTTGCACGTGGCCAGCGACGACGAATGGCTGCACAGAAATAGAACGTCAGCGCTATACCAGAACTTACAGGAAAAGCAAGCATACCAGGACGGAGGCATCAACAACGCGCAGGCCCTTGAGGCCCTTGACCTTCAAGTCGGGGTCAACGACACCCCACGGTGCGCCGCAGGGAGACATCGACGCCGTGCCGACGCCGTGAATGTTGGAGACAGTCTGGTTGCGGATGAAGAGCTCGAGCTGTGCGTCATCGACAGTGCCGTTTGCGGTGAAGACGGGCGCGAACTCGGGGCCGGGGCCGGTGACGTAGTCCTTCCACGCGGGCTGCGCGACGAGGTTGATTGCGGCCTTCAGTGCCTGCTTCTGCACGAAGAGGTCCATAGGGTGCTTGAAGAACGCGCCGTCGAGAAGGGGCTGGCCGGTCGGGTTGGAGGCGTTGAGGGTGAGCGAGCCGCGCGAGTACGGGTTCAGGCCGATGGGGGAGAGATCCATGAGCGGAGGAGAGCCGGGACGACCGTTCTATGAAAGGCAACACACGTCAGACGATGGTTATAAGCGGAAGTCGACAATGAATACGCACGCTAGGAGTGATCTCGTAGTGGGGAGAGTCGGGGCCCGCAGCGGGGTCGCCGTACTTCTCGATCATGGCCTTCACCTCGGGGTCAGACTCGTTCATGCGAAGCCAGACGAACTGGTTGATGCCGCCAGCCGCGAAGGGACCGGTGTGCGACGCGTTCCACTGCGCGTACGCCTCCTGCGTGAGCGTCGCGTTCTCGAGGATGTGCTGGAACGTGTCGTTCGAGCGCGTCAGCCAGCGCGTGAACGGCGTAAGAGCCTGCTCCGTCAGGTTCTGGCCAACGCTTGGGATGTCCGCGACGACGCTGATGTTGAGGCTTCGCAGCGTGCGCGCGTCGCCGATGCCCGAGTGAAGCAAGATGTACGGCGAGCCGACGAGACCCGCGGAGAGCACGATCTCCTTGTTCACCTTCGCGTTGTATGTCGTGCCGTTGCCCTGCGACTCGACGAACTCGACCGTGTCGATGGCTCCGCCCTTCTTCGACGGCAGCACGCGCTTCACCGTCGCGTCCGTGAGGACGAACAGGTTCGGGCGGTTGATGTACGAGTCGCCGAGGTACGTCCACGCGGAGCTCGAGCGCGTGCCATTGCCAATCGTGTACTGCGCCCAGCCGACGCCCTTCGACACGCCGCTGTTGAAGTCGAGCGTGAAGGGGTACTCCTCCGGGTTCTCCTTCGTGACCTGCATCATGATCGAGTCCGTGTCCATCGGCCACGCGTTCACGCTGGTGCCGACGATGCCAGACTTGCCGTGCACCTTCGGGTCGTAGTGCCCAGTGTTGCTCACGGGCCCAATCGCGGGGATGAACTTCTCGTTCTTCAGGAAGTACTTCTGCAGGGAGTCCCATGACCAGCCCTGGTCCTTCGTCACGGCAGCGTAGCGATCGAAGTCTTCCTTCGTGCCGCGGCTGTACACCATGCCATCTGGATGGAAGTTAGGATCGAACTGGGTTTTCAACATACAGAAGTACTTACTAATTGAACTCGAGCCGCCGAGGATGTAACCACGCGTGAAGCCGATGGTCCGGTTGAGGAGGCCCGCTTGCCTGAGAGAGCGAAACGCGTCAATTACAGTCGAATCACGCAAACGAATATACACATACGGGATGTAAGTGGTGTTCCAGTCCAATGCGGGCTCCCCGAGTGCCTGACGAATAAGGTAGGGAATTGTTACTTCTGGTCTGTCACGGTTACTACAAGACAGTCAGTACAATCCATGCGAAATGAGAGAAACAACGCGTACGTAGGGCCACCCTCAATGACCAACACCTTGGAGTTCTTGTCCTCGGACAGGCGGTTGCCCAGAACGCCACCGGCCGTACCGCCACCGACGATGATGTAGTCATAGCCATTAAGGGAAGGCAGATCAGAGACGCTGTCGTAGATGAGAGCACTCGACTGAATCGTGAGCGCAGCGAGAACAAACGCGAGAGTGCGAGCACGAGAGAACATGGCCGATTAAGTTAATGATACGTGCAAGGGAAGGAGGGAGTAGGGGCACGAAACGGACCGGTGAGGACATGAGGATCCGCGGGGCCGGTTATATATGGCCCAGGCGCGGATTCGCGATGCCAGGGAGCCGAGCAAGAGTCAGCTAGATGGGCGGATCGAACATGTCGGAAGGGGCGGCGCATGGATTGCATCGCATCTGGGACGGCGAGGAGCCAGGAATAGACTTGTGCAGGGGAGGTACCATCCCGTCCTGCCAGGAAAAGTTTGCGCCAAACTAGGGGATATGAGGCTTCTGGCACCCTGTATGCTTTCCAGTGGCATCGGCAGCCACGAGATTGCAAATGCAGATGCGCGTAGGACCGAATATATCGACATGCATGGATACGCTCCCGCCTCTGCCGATCAACACGGCGTCTCCCGCATTGTCGCGTCCGCACAGCATGCAAATTGGACACACCGTCCAGGACCCCATTGAGGCGCACGACTGCGGTGGTGTCAGTCCTGCCAGAACGGACGGTACAGTGTGTCATAGGGC